CAAGCATCAGGTTTAAAAATTAGTCACTGATCTTCCATCCACTGCTATCTGTGGAAAAGGGTTCCAAATATCTACACCCCTTAAGAGTAGAAGTGTTTACTATCATCCCTCCTGAACAGTCTAGCCCTAATTCTCAGGCTATTCTCCTGAGTTCTAGAATTCCCAATTAGTGGAAATAGTTTATCTTTATCTACACTATCTTTTCCTGCTAATATCTTGAAGAGTTGGTGACAATTTTGCAGAACACTGCCACTAACTCTGCAAGCAAGAAGCCAAACTTCTGGTTGTTCATCATTTCAATCCATTACTCTGCTCTCATCCTCACGTTTCTGGGTTTAGTCTGCTGCAGTGTTTCAGTGCAGCTGGAGGAATTGTGGCTTATTTGCTGCTTAGGTACGTTACAGCCTTTCAGACTCAACATTGAGTTCACCAACTTCAGCTGATAAACTGTGTCCTCTATTTCGATATTCCCACCCCCTCCATCACTGTGTCTGAATCTTATTTTTTATGTTTTTGCTTTCATTTTGAACTGACCCTTAATCGACTATAAACACTTACTCTGGATTTATGCTTTGTCACCTCTCTACAACCATTATCACACACTTTTCCCTTTATGATACCATTGATCTGTAACCTCCCTCGTGTTCTAACCTGTCCCTGATCTGACTTTAAATAAAAACTGAAAAGACTGCGGTTGTTGTAGATCAGAAACAAAAACAGAAGTTGCTGGAAAAGCTCACCGTGTCTGGCAGCATCTGTGGAAAGAAATCAGAATTAACATTTCAGGTCCGGTGACCCTTTCTCCTGATCTGACCTTCTTTTCCACTTGCTCCTCCCCTCCATCTCCAAACCTATCAGATTTCGACGTCTCCTCAGTACTGAACAAAAGCCATATCTGACTCGAAGTGTTAACTCTGTTTCTTACTTCACAGTTGTTGCCAGACCTGCTGAGTTTTTCTAACACTGGTTGTTTTCACTTGAGATCTCCAGTATCTGCAGTCTTTTACTTTTGTTGATATGAGATTAGCCTGATTCACTAAAGGTGGGTTAGAAGGGGCATCTCTTCTGCTTGCTGTACTAGGGGTCATGCATTCAAGGTAAGAGGGGGAAATTTCAAAGGAGATGCGAGGGGCACATTTTTTACATAGAGAGTGGTAAGTGCCTGGAACGCGCTGCCAGGGTTAGTGGTGGAGGCAGATACCAGAAGGGCATTTAAGGGGCTTTTAGATAAGCACATGAATAAGCAAGGAATGGAGGGACATGGACAATGGGCAGGCAGAAGGGATTAGTTTAACTCGGTGACATATTTGGCCAATATCGTGGGCCAAAGGGCCTGTTCCTGTGCTATGCTGTTCTATCAACATGGTGAGGAGCTGGAGGAACACAGTAGGTCAGGCAGCATCAGAGGAACAGGAGAATCGACGTTTCGGGTCAGTACCCTTTGTTGGACTGATGAAGGTTTCTAACCCGAAACATTGACTCTTCTGTTCCTCTGATGCTGCCTGACCTGCTGTGTTCCTCCAGCTCCACACTATGTTGACTCTGACTCCAGCATCTGCAGTTCTTGCTATTTCTATACTGTTCTATGTTCTATTTACACAGCTCCAGCACTTTGAAGATAGGTGAATAATGTGGGGAGTAGATGTGACCCTCAGAATTGAGCTTGAATCATTCCCAGCTAGATCTACATCCTCTCAGAATCAATTTACTACTTGTTGTGGTCTACCCTGGGAACTGAAGGTCCCAAAGACAAACAGCACTTGCTCCCAAAGGATTTGTTGTTGGTTAGTACTGCAGGGGACATGCTTTCCTATAATAAAGCTTAAAATTTCTTGCCCTTTAAAGTAGGTCTAATTCAAGTTCTTCCCAAGGAGTCACTCAGAGTCCTGGTGCTTCTATGGAATTGGCTACTTGTTCACTATTACAGCTTCAACTTTCAGTCCTGGTTTTTAAATGTTCTTCTGTGTAATTATTCTAAACAAATTGGACTGTTAGTATTTTTTCTTAGCCTGAAGGCAAACGATATGACAATGTCACCTTTGCAAATTTAAGGAGTGGACCAATTTAAAGTGCTGTAGGCTCCCTATGTAGTTGCTGGTACACTGTAGCAAAATATTATTGTTACTAACGTTGCACTCTTCCATGACACAACTACACACACAAAAATTCCATTTATGGAACACTGAAAGTTTATGATTGAGTTTAAAAAATTGGGAGATTGCTCAAATTTAGTATGTCTAATAAATAATAAATTAATCAAGAACAAATCTATATTATGAAACAGAATTTCCTGAAGCATATTATAAGGGACATCAGAGCACTAAACAAACGTTAAATGAAGAGTTAGTGTAGATTACTGAAAGTGGAGCTCAGTTAGGCATTTTTTTTCAATATTCATATTGCTACACTTCACAACTTTTGGATGTGAAGGGATATTTGGCAAAGGTGGATATTTGGTGTTACCCTACAGATCAGTCATGACCATATTAAATGGCAAAACAGTTACGAGCGGATAAATGGTGTAATCCTGTTCCCAGGCAGTAGGTGTTAGGAACAGTTCATGTGGCCACTTATTCATCATTTTCAGTCTATATCACATCACCTATCTCTGTACAGTCTCTGAGGCCTGATTGAATAATTGTCTTATGGTAACATTACAATATTTCTATCTGGCCTTTCACTTTAATTCTGTTGGAGTGACGACATTGCTTCCACTCATCTTCTTATTGATTTTTTTCTTCATTTAATCATAAAGTCTTATATTTTTAATTATCACCATTGTACGCAAGACCAACAATCCATACAGGCGCTGTCCTGATCAAATGCAACTCAATTTATAACTTAATAAAAACCGAAAGAACTGCAGATGCTGTAAATCAGAAACAAAAACAGAAGTTGCTGGAAAAGCTTAGCAGGTCTGGCAGCATCTGTGAAGAAAAATCAGAGTTAACATTTCGGGTCCGGTGAACTGATGGTAGCTGGGAAAGTGTCAGAAACCTTGCCACCCCTCTCCTTGTTTGAGTCAATCCTTGAAACCTACCACAAACAAAAGCAGAGGCCGCTGCAGAAATTCAGCAGGTTTGGCGGTATCTGCGGGAAGAAAGCAGAGTTAACGTTTCAAGTCCGGTGACTCTTCATCAGAACTCGAAACGTTAACTCCCCTTTCTTCCCACGGATGCTGCCAGGCCTACAGAGTTTCTCCAGCAATTTCTGCTTTTGTTTCAGATCTCCAACACCTGCAGTTGTTTATTTTTATCTTAAAACCTACCACTCTGTGACCAGAGATAGTAGGAACTGCAGATGCTGGAGAATCCGAGACAACAAGGTGCAGGGCTGGATGAACACAGCAGGCCAAGCAGCATCATAGGAGCAGAGAGGCTGACGTTTCCGGCCTAGACCCTTCATCAGAAAAGGGGGAGGGGAAGGGGGTTTTGAAATAAATAGGGAGAGAGTGGGAGGCGGATAGAAGAGGGATACTGGCTCCATCCCCGCCTCTTCGACCTGTTTGTTTCCTCTCCACCTATCCTCTCCTCTATCCCTCTTCTATCCGCCTCCCACTCCTTCCCTATTTATTTCAGAACCCCCTTCCCCTCCCCCTTTTCTGATGAA